AAGAGGAATTTCATTATATTCCAATAACATCCATTATTACATCATACTTAATACATTCAGGTTCGTCATAGTAAAACCAATACATCATACTTAATACATTCAGGTTCGTCATAGTAAAACCAATACAACATACTTAATATAATGTGCTTTAAGGTCTCGATTCCTAATCAGATTATCATGTGTTTCATTAAGCAATAATCTGATGGTTGAAACATCATCTCTTCGATTGGATAATTTGTTCACTATGAAAATTGTTAGGGCTGTAAATGAGACGAGACAGATCGCGAGCTACTTGGGATCGACTCGGTCAAAGCTCGATCAACACTCGAATCGAATGAACTCGACTTGAGCTCGAACTCGACTCGAATTCTTAACAAGCTAAAACGAGCTACTTAATACTCGACTCGAAAAGCTCGCGAGTTACTCGAAAAAAATGTTATATTATAATTTTAGATTTTTAAAAATTACATTATTAAAAATATATTAAAAATACATTATTGATAATTATAAATTTTTAAAAATATATTTTTAAATGTAATATAAGATTTGTATAGGTTCAAATTCGAGTTTGAGTTCGAGCTTGAATCGAGCTCCTAATTTTTTTTTGAGTTTGAGCCTTTTCGAGTTCGAGTCGAATTTCAATATTATATTTCGAGTTCGAGCTGAGTTTGATAATTTTTAGCTCACGAGTTTTCGAGTCAAGTCGAGTCTAATTTTAAACTTTTCGAGTTCGAGTCGAGCTCAGTAATACTCGAGCTCTACTCGATTTATTTACAGCCCTAGAAATCACATCGCCTTCAATAGATACGTCAATCAATCCATTCTCAATTGCGAACCTAAGCTCGTGTGTGAAAGCTACCACTTTCGTCAATTCTATCGTGAATGGTGGTTTTTATTTATTTATTAAGCTAAGATGCTCTCAATCATTTGACAATGAACACTCAATCACCCTGCTGTAGTCGTTGATGTTCGAACCTATCACATCTAAGAATAATAATAATTTATTTAACCACTGAAATAAATTGATTAGTACTATATAATCAAATATTTTATTATTCAAATACATGGTTACATTATTTTTATCATTTTAAAATGTGATGCCGCTCGAAAACGCTACATCACATGTCGTGGTCGTTACATTATTTGACTAATTAATTGAATTATTAATTTAGAAAAATGTTGGTTATATTATGATTCGTAATATATATATAAAAAATAAATTGTGGGCACTCATGAGGATTTTCTATTTTAATAATAAAATAAAATAAAATATTCGGGTGGCATGTTATATTATTAGCACAGTATCAGATGCCCTTGAATACCATAAATATAATTAATAAATGAATTTATTAATTTATTAATTTATATTATAGTAAAATGGAGTCTAAGGCAGGAATGTTTAACCTTTATTAAACAAAAGCTCATATTATAACTTATTTTATTATATTATTATATATTTTCGAAAGCATCTGTGTCTGGGGTCGGTTCCATTGATTGAATACATAATAAATTATTAAATATGTAAAAATTTATTAAATATATATTTAATTGTTTAATATATACATATATAATATAGATAGGGATGACAATGAGTTGGTTAGGGTTGGGTTTTGGGTCAATCCGACCCGATCTGAAAAATATGTATATTTCATCCGAACATGACCCGATCTTAAAATTTTATATCATTCACTCGGTTTGATTCGAAAAATATATATAGTCCATCGACTCTGACTCGACCTAATTTTTTAGAGTATAAATTTGACCTGACACGATATAAAATAAGGATTTAATTAAAAATAATAATTTTTAAGAAAATTATATTATTATCCTCATGTCGGGGCGGGTCAGAGTTTTTTCACCCTCCACCCGAACCCGACCCGACCTCGTCCTTTAAAAAATTCAACCTGATCCGACTCAAACCCAATTTTTTTTAAAAAATCTGACCCTATTAAATTACGTCAAATCAAAATTCATCAAATTCGAGTGAATTTATCGTCCCTAAATATAGATACTAAATAGATTATATTATATTTATTTTATATCATACAAAAGCAATTCTTTGCCTGAAGGTGCGTGCATGCGTTTGGAACCAGTGAAGCCTATGTTGCAACCAAAAATATATTTTAATTAGATATTTTAGCCCATTTCTGATTCATAATTATCAGTTATTTGTGAATTAATTTAATTTAGATATTACAGAATTATATTATTAGATATTATAGAATTATATTATTAGATCACTCTTAATTTAATTTGTTTCATTTAAGAGTGTTTATTATTCGGTTTTAACCGAATTAACCGATTGAACTGAATTGATTCAGTTAATTCAATATTCGGAGAACGGTTAATAATTTTTCAATATTCGGTTAACGGTTAATTTGGTTTGAAATCGATTGATTAATCCAAATTAACTGAAGTTATTAAAAATTAAATAGATCATATATATTAAATACATATTGTAAGCTCAAACTCATTAAGAATTAAGACTCATTTATTTACACTATACTCATTAAATTATTAATACCTAATCAAATTTTAACTCAAATAAAAAAATACTTCTATTGTATTCAGATTAATCTAATTAAAAAATTATGAAAAGATTTCGGTTAATTTAGTTAACCGACCGAAATAACTAAACTTTATTTGGTTCAGTTAATATTTTTAAAAATAAATTTGGTCCAGTTAACGATTAAAAAAAGTTCGGTTAATGGAAATTTGGTTTGGTCGGTGGTTGAATTAACCGTTTGAACACCCCTAACTTCATCTATATAATTTTTTATTTTTTTAATAGATATAACATTTTTTATTTTTTTATAGAAGAAACCAATTTTATTCAAAATATGAAATATCACAAATTACAATAAAGATTTACCATCACAATAGTAAAGTAAGCACATAATTAGGAAAATTTCCTAAAATCATTGAAACAAAACTAGCAACTTAAGATCACATAAGGACCAAACAAGAAAAGATTAAAAATCTAACCAAGAAACTTGAACAAAGATAGATACAAACATATTTGATTGTATCGGAAAACGAACAACGAAAGTGGATTAAGCTATTGAAATACCATCGAACAAACCACCAATCAGATTCGAGCGTTGTGAAAGCTATCAACAAATGCAAATCGAGTATCCACATCCAATCTAAGGGTACAAACCAGGGAAGATCAACAAAATATCAGATAAACATAATTCTGATCGGTTGCGGCGATGTCAAATTAACCTTTTAAAAAAATGAAAAAAGGTCAAATAACCAAAAAAACATGTCAAAAAACATAAGAAAATGTGTCATAAAGATATATGAAAATGTGACATACCAATATACTTATTGAAAAAAATACAATATAAGGAAAAAGACAATAAATAATACCAACGATTAACCCATTACGGTTTATGAATGGTTTTATTTGGAAAATGGAAACCATTTTTATAAAAATAATTTTGCTAATTTTTCATTTTTTTACATTTTACTCCTATGTAAAATGATATTTTAAACTTAATCCAATTATTTCACATTAAAACTACACATCTTCAAATATTTATTTAAGTTATTAGAGTGAGGCCTCAACAAAATTTCTGAATTTTGGAATTAATTCCATTCAAATTAGTATCTAATTATTATAAAATATTTTTTGTGAAATAGAATTATTGGTGTCGAAAAAGAAAATAATGTTGATATTGAAGAATGAAAGATATCAATAATAAGAAAATAAAATAAAATAAAATGAAGGCTTAAATATAAAATAAGTGCCTAAACTATACTACTTTTCATGAAAAGGTGCCTAAAGTATTTATGACTCATCTTGATGCCTAACGTTACAAACATTACAATTTTAGGTGCTCGGACCGTCAACGGTGCTAATTTCTTCCGTTAAGTGACGTGTGTCACGTTCTAGTAATTCTGAAATTATTTTTAAAAATAAAATATTATATTTATAAAAAAATTTGTTTTTCTAAAATTCAAAAAAACCTAAATCCCTCATATCCCCTATTCCTAACCCTAACCCTAACTCCAACTTTGTGTTTTTATCATGGCTACTTCATCCAACACCTCCCTTGCCATCTCTGTAGTTGTACGATTTCGTCATTGTTGTGGAGTCGTCGTGGTCTACGCGATGGTCGTCGTTTGTCGCGTTTGTTAGGAGTGATTTTGTTGCAATTTCGTCACTTATATGGCGATTGTTCGTCGGGGAACATGTCTTCGGTGGAGGTGCAACCAGGTGGAAGTCTAATCGACGACAACGGGGGGCGGGCGACGACGGGCATAGTAATAGAGACTAGATTTAGGATTTTCAAAGTTTGGTGGAGGTTTTTAAGATTTTTAAAAACTTTAGGGTTTTTAAAATATATATTTTTAAGTTTTTAAAAATAAAAATTTTAAAATTATCAGATTGTGACAATATAACTTAATAAAAGAAATTAACGCAGTTGATGATTTGATCACTTAAAATGATAACGTTCGTAACGATAGATATAGAAATGAGTCGAAAAATACTTTATACACATATTCACAAACAAAATATAATTTCAGCACTTATTTTATATTTAAGCTTAAATTAAAATTTATTTTCCGTGAACAAAATTACATGTAGACCCTTGAAATCAATGAACGGTGGTTGAATTTTTTTGCTGGAAAATCCAATAATCAAATCAAACAAACAGAAAGGCACATTCCCAGTTTAAAGAAGACAAATAAAGGCAATCAAAAAGGAAAGGTGGAGAGTCCATAATAATTGGCATCAAATGCTCTTATGGGGATTCGCACTGTTGTTGATTTTCCAAGATCTGCAAATGTCAATTATACACCCCTTATTTTTATCATATCTTTATCAAAATTTATAAGAAAGGGGTTAATTTTATCAAACATCTTCAAACAATGGCTATACTTTTAAAGATTTAATCAGAATGTTTTTAAGTGTTAGGATTGATTTATAATATAAATTATAATTTGAGGCTGTTCGGGGAAATTAAACCAGAAAATTCCAAACTTTTTTTTCATTTCCATTTTTGTTGATTTACTCCATTGCTTTGCCTTGCAAAGCTTCATTTTTGTTACAAAAATGGAGATGATACTCTAAAACGAAGAACCCCATTCCCAGAAATTTATAAGCGAGAAGCAAAAAGGCATGACCAATTAGGGTTTCGTCGGAAAGTTGCCCACAAAGAGGTAACTTCCCTCCCTCTTCATCCCCTCTCTCTATCTGTCTTTTATTTGTTTTTCTCCGTGTCTTTTTTTACCTCAGGTTCTTCTTTATTCAATTCAAATTGATGGGGTTTCTTCTTTTTTTTTTTTTAGGATTTGATTTGGGGTTGAGTTTCCGGGATTGATATGACAATTTTCATTTTGGTAATTTGTCCTTGTATGCGAGTGCTTCAATTGTAGGGCTTTGTTTAGCTGAAATGAGCAAACGAACAGTTTGATACCCTTTTGAAAGAAGTTGTCAGTGTATGATGAGGAGGAGGAAATAAATTTTTCTATCTTTTGTTCCCTTTTTTTCACATTAAAATTTAGTTTGGATTTCTGGGTAAAGTGGATTGTTGAGTTGTGTGGAAGTTAGGAAAAGAATTGACAACAGGATCGAATTCTGTGTTCCATCATGAAGAAGATTTAGCTTCCATTATGAACCGGCACGCTTTACCGTTCCAATCAGCTGCTTTTAGCAGTAGTTCCGACATGATTCCGATGATGGGCGGTTACTTTGCAACACCGTCCATGTTCTTGCCGGGGAATTCCAGTATTATTACCACATCTCCTGACTTAAACCAACCGGGAAACTCTTCCGGAGCTTCCTTCCTTGTAGATTCTGTTGCAGGGCTCAAGCATGACACAGGGTTGGCCGCTGAGTGGTCCTCTGATGAACAATATATATTGGAGGATGGCCTTGAAAAGTATGTTCTATAATTGCTTCTTCGTGCTTTTTATTCAGAGCTTTTGGGGGTATGCGGTTGCTTATTGTATATGATTTGTGTTAGAAACCTGAACCATTAATATTAGTAGGTAGAAAAAGATCCCCTTGTTGTGTTAGTAGGATTTATTTGTGTTTTTGCAATTGATTTTTATGATTGAACTGTTTCCGAGGTACTTATTAGGTATGACTTGTTTTTGAGCTTAAGATTTAAGTTCTGATTTTAAATTTTTGATGTACATGTATGTAGATATAAAGAGGCGCCGAATATTTTGAAGTACATAAGATTGCAGCTACTTTGAGTGATAAACCGTACGTGATGTTGCTTTGAGGTGTCGGTGGATGCAAGTAAGCTCCTTCTTTTTTGATGAATTTCTCGCATCGTTTGTACTAATTTTTATTGTCATGTATCATGTGATATATGCTCTCATTCTAAGTCTGCCTATGGAAAATTGGTTTCTAAGACTTGGTTTTTATATGTGGTGGAAACTGGAAATGTTCAATTAATGAAAATTGTTCGGATTATCTATCCTAGAGAATTGGGACCAAAATGTATCTCCTTAATCAATTATCTTATACTTTCGGAAATTGGCAGAGAAAGCGGAGGAAGCCTGAAGAACATAATTCAGGAAAAAAAAGTGAACAGTAGAAAGGTATGCTGATGAATTTTTGTAATTTTGTGAAATAGTTATTGATTTCTTAGCTTCTTTTTCCCTAAATGATTTTACACATCGTACTTAAACTTCTTGAAGCACATAGGATGCAGATGACAGAATATAAATTTAAGGATTGAATCGGCAAGGAACAACAATTTTTTACTTTTCATTTTTCAATTTGAATTATGGTTTGATTGCCTATGTTCTTTCTTTCTTTCAAGTCATATCACAAACAAAGTTGTTATTCCATGAGCCCATGACTGGGTTTCCTGTTTTAGTTTCCTGAAAACAACCAATGTTTTTTGATAAAATGTTATGAAGAACCCGTATTCTAAAGATCATACTTTCCAGGATAAGCTGGTGGAATCATCTTCTAAGATGAATATGCCTTCATCTCTTCTACAAACCATGGCTGCATATCCTCTGATGATGCACCATCTGGACCAGAATGAAAGAATGCCTTCTGAAGGTTTGTATTCTATATCAACACATAGAGTATCAATATCTTTCTTTCGGTTGTGATAACTTTTAATTAGTGTCTTTCTATCAGTATTTTTCCGAATCTCCCATTTGTATAATCTAAAATAGAGATCGATCTTTCTTTTATGAGGTCAAAGAATGGATCAGCAGCTTGCTTCAGTCAAGTAGTTGAACATACTCTGAATATCAGCAAATAATGGCACAGCCTAGACACCGTGACATTTAACTATAAAGCTAAAGAGTTTATTCAACTGTAGTTTACGTATATAAATTCTATTCTGATGGTTAAGTACGTCCAACTTTTTCTATGCAATCTGCATCATTAAAGTAATTTCTTCTAAGGGCTTTAGACACCATTGTCCATTTTCCTTGAAATTATCAAACTAATTCTGTTTACTTATTTCCTTCACTTTATATGTTATTCTTCCTTCCCTTTTTAGTTTGTGGTGAAGTTTTAGTTTTTAATCCACAAATTATGCCTGCTCGTGCTATAATGTCGGCAGTAGGATTTTGATTTCCCTGTACTGGCTTGCGATTAAATGTATTGTTTTAATGTTTAATCTGCTTGTTTGTTGTGTGTTCTTAGGGATTTGGTACAACTATGCATCTTTTGAAGCAAAATGCTCAAACTCTTAGCCAAATCACATCCAATCTTTCTGCATACAAGGTATCATTCCCTAGCTTATAACATTTCTTTGGTGTCGATATGCAATCATGCATTAAAGAATAGTTGCTAATGCGATGGCTGATGAGTTTTATTTTCCTTTTGATTTATGCTACTTCTTTAATCTGCAATTCAACGTTCAGTGTTTGCTGTAAGTTTAAGAGGTTAACCAGGGGAAAAATATATAACCGATATAAGGTGGCATATAACATGTTTGTGATTTCAACCAATCCTGTTTTTCATTGTAGGACATAGCAACAATCTGGCCTGTATGTCTCTAGTTATACTTTTATTATTCTGTGCTCCTTTCACTTTTTTTTATAAGTAACAACTAACAAGGCCTCGCTCTAAACCCTGTCATAACCGCCGCTGTAGAAAAGTACCTCAGCGGACATTGGAAGGAGGAAAAGAGTGCCTCACTCCTTTCACTTCTATGGGTGCAAACCCTATTTGCCATTGCAAGAAATAAGAAATGTATTCTGCATCCATGATGGCCATTGCATATTGTTGCAAGTGGACCTCGTTTCCGAAGAGGTGTCATGGATTTATTTATGCTTCTTTTCCAAAGTTCTCTTAAATTGTATGTGATTGCTCGTATGTATGATTTGCTATCATATTTCGAGGTTGTTTATTGAATAAAGCTTTTAAACAGTTACAGGATAACATCGATCTCTTTGTCACGCGAGGAACAATATTACCGCCATGCTAAACAAGTGCGTTGATTTTCTTATAATTGCCATGTGTTTGCTGTCGTCTGTGTTGGATTATTAATTTTCAGCTCTGACTTCTTGCAGCATGAGAGATACACCAGTTTAATGAGCCTTAGGCCACCCTTGCCGTATCTATCAATGTGGATTTAGCAAATAGCATCTTGCCTGGAGCAACTAATACCTTGCCTCAGGTAGGTTCGCTTTTAAATGATTAGTTGCATGTACGGGGATCGATGCCCAAAACGGAACGAATAGAAAACCAGAAATCAAAGAGTGTTCGATTAACGGAACTGTGGCTGTCATTAATTTATTTAACTGAGGTTTCATGCAAAGCCTATTTATGCCAGTTGCAAGTGTAACCTTTCTGGGTGATCGAGTATCATCTCTTTTGGTCTTACACGAGCTGCTCGAGCACTTGTTGACTCCGGTATTCTTCTATTACACCGTTGATGAATTCCAGTCTGCAATGTATCTTTGCGTGTCGTTTGTCACATAAATCCGAGTGCTGAACTTTATCATGGAATCCTGTGCTTGAGATGGAGAGGGCGGAGGCTGGGATTGAATTTACATCGAGATCAACCCCATATACTGTTACACTACAACTAATGTCGATTTAACGGCAGGAAATATTTGCATCAATGAGTACTTATTTTTATCAACTTAATCGCTATGTTGCATACATGTGTTACCATGTTTGTTTTTCCTCTTGTACCAGACCATGATCTGACTTGCCAAGGGGATCCTCTTAAGCAGGAACCGAGGTGCTGATATGGAACTGTCGCGATCGAGATTGGATATAACCGGTTCGTGTAACTACAAAAAGAGAATTCGACTGTAAAGCCTCAGAAGCTGGTAGGATTCCACCATGGATGAACTTGTAGAGATCCCCCTTTTTGGAGCCTAAATGGTTACCCATCCAAGCACCAGCTAATAAGAATTGCAGACCACTTATCATCCTTGATCCATGGGGGGAAAACAGAAATAAGTAAAAATACCTCTAACAGGTTTAGTTTCGTCTTGTCAAGGTGCTTTTGATTAATGTAATTGCTTGTATTTTGTTATCTTCTTGTTTTTAGACCAATTTGAAACGCTTTGATCAGGTCAACAATGTCGACTCACTGAGTTAGGGTGATTTTTTTGTAATGCTTTTCTTTTTGTATAAAGGAGATCACAACCGTTGAAATATTCAAATTTTATGTCTGAAATATCAAGCTGCTTACTATTCGGATTTACCATTTTGATTTGTATTAATTATTTGTAAATATATAGATAGTTATTATATATAATTGGGTATACAAATGATCCCCTAATTATAAAGTACTATATTTATTAAGTCCTTTGACTATTAAAAGTTACAAAACGATCATTTGACTATAGAGTGTTACTTTATTGAGTCTCTCTACTGTTAAAAGTTATAAAATAGTCATTCAACTATTAATTATATTTAAAACAAGTCTTTTTTCCATTAAAAATGAACGGTATTTCGAGTTGAACATTAACATGTTGATTGCGATATGCTAAAACCTGATCCTATAATTTCAAATGAATATTATATCTCAGTCTTCATGTTAACGTATAACTTAAACAACCGTCAATTTTTTAACGCAAATTACGAGTTTGGATACCGATTTGAATTATGCATGTGAATTGATTCTTTTAACAAAAAATTAAGGTAAAGTATATAAATGGTTCCTCGATTATAGGGTGTTATTTTATTGAGTCCTTCGACTATTACAAATTATAAAATGATCCCCGATTATAAGATGTTTTTTAAGACCCATGTTCATTAAAAGTTACAAAATGATCATCCAACTATTCATTGTGTTCCAAACTAGTCATTTTTCGTTAAAAAATCAATGTCAGCTTGAATTGGATGTATTGACTGAGATATGATATAATATGAACCCAAAACCTCAAACGACAATCATATATCAATCAGCAGGTTAACGTCCAACTCAAACTACCATAAATTTTTAACGAAAAATGACGAGTTTGGAACAAATGAATAGTCAAATGAGCATTTTGTATCTTCTAATAAACATGGGACTTAAATAATTATATTGCACATTCAAGATGAACAATTTGGTGAGCTAATAGAATTAGTGAATAAGCTGAAAATGACGTGGGACATTTTTCTAATTCTACAATTAGAGAACCATCTTTCCTTAAAGACAATCACATATTTAAATTCTCATAATAGAAATTGAACTTGAAAATACATAAATTCTTAACCAATTCAAAGGAGTGGGTCATTTTTCGTCAAAACAACCACCAAATTCAAACTCAGAGGGTCAAGACGAATTAACCTATGAAATTTGAGATCGAACAAACACCATCTATGACGATCGACGACGGTCGACAATGGTGTCCGATCATCTTCTGTTTTTTATTTTATATTTTAAATTATTTTTATATTAAATAATAATAAAAAAATGTCATGTCGTATAAAAATAATAATAAAATAATTCATAGTTATCAAAACAGAAATAATTTGAAAGTTCAATGAGTAAATAAAAAAAATTAAATTTACGGCGAGTAAAATAAGAGACAAAATGATGTTAGTGAGAAATGGTGTATTTTACCTTTTTTATTTAAATTCAAATTCTAGTGATGAAAATTATGATATGGACAAGGTAAGAATATATTTTGATACGAAGATAATCGAATACTAGAAGTAGGATATAAAAAAGGGGGTAAATTATGTGTTTAGTACTTAAACTATCAATTTTATTTCATTTTGATATCTAAACTTTCAATTTTTAAAAATCATACAAAACATTTAATTTTTATTTCACTTTAGTATTCTACCATTAAAAACTTAACACGTTTATCATCTAAACTATCATCTTTGGACCATTTTAATACCTTTTTTTTAATTTAAAATTAAGTTTTTAACGGATACTAAAATGAAAGAAAAAATTGAAAGTTTTCTGACATTGAGAGCCTAAATCAATCGGTTCATCAAAAATTTTCGATACGACACTACTACCTGTCTTCTGGAAACCGAATAAAAAGGCATGCACAAAAACTAAAACAGAAAACGAAGCGGAATGATGCATCAAACAAAGGAAATTTTTGAAAACTTCTAGGTCTGATTACAGGTTTATCAACGTGCCAGTAAAGTGTTGGGTTGTTCACAGAGTTGTCGATGCATGAAAGCTCCAGTGGATCCAGGAATAACTAAACGCCCACTGAATGCAAAGGATGGGTCAACATTACAATAGCATGCTACCAGCATCTATAATTTAAGGCAATGAATCAAGCTGATTGAGCTTCAGGCTTTGGGGCAGCAGCATTTTCCGCTGGTTTCATCGGGGTTGGAGCGGTATCTCCTGGTTTGGACAAATGTGGAATGTATCTCCAACAGCGCTTGTGAACTCCGCTTATTTTCTTGGGAGCATCTGCAGCTGGAACACCTGCATTAGGCATCAATAATATCAAGTAAACCACATCTAACAGTTAATTGCAGATAGAGAAATCTAATCAGATGGCAAAAACTGTCGAATGCAGAAACAATATCGACTCTTCCTGAGTTATATTCGCAGTGGTTATCTGGACATTGTAAATGCTCATCAAGTATAGCAACATATCGTATGATAGTCCATTCAATCTCCTTATCCACATTTATACAAATAATATCGGTGTGCTTTTCTAACCATAATTGAGAAGCAGCTATTAGGTATCTAATCTCCTCTTAATTCTTTTCTACACATTTTTCTAATTCTACATTAGAGAACCATCTTGTCCATACCCATAATTCTCACTAAACTTTATAAACGACTGCACAAGAGAAGGCCAAAACGAAACACAAAAAAACCACAAAAGAAAATCTAAGCCCGTGCACAACTAAGTTGAGGATGCATCGAGATTGAGCAGAGATAGGCCAGAAAATACCGCCCGTGCACAACTAAGTTGAGGATGCATCGAGATTTGAGCAGAGATAGGCCAGAAAATACCAAGCATAATTTGCTCAAAATGGCAAATGTCACCAACATTAAGTGACAACAACAAGGAGCATAACAAGAAAAAAACTTAACGCTAAAATTCTAACCATTATCCTACTCCGTGTAGCAAAATGAACTATTTTCATGAGCAACTAACCGTCTTTGTGAACCAGTCCCCATGCTTTGCCATGCTTTCCATCCTGCAAACAAACACAAACCAAATAAACCTAAGAACAGACCAACAATAATAAGTACTGCGTAATCAACTAAATTCCCAAATTCCGTCATCAAGTAATTAACTATACATTGTGCAAATAAGACCAGGTAGAACCCATTTAACTCCATCATCTCTTCACATATATCAGTAAAAGCAAAACACCCATGATTCAAACCATTCTTTTCCGATAAAATGAACACAAACGTAAGAAACCCAACCCAGAAATTTCTTCTTCTTTTTATTGGAGTAAGAGAGTAGTAGAGAGGACCTTATAGAGATTGATCTTGGTGATTTCATACGAAACATCGGTCCAATGAGTTTTAGCCATGTGGTAACCAAGCCCCCAGTTGGGTAAGAACTGAGCTACCTCGAATAGGTTCTTCTTTTTTTCTCTTGGGCTTCTTAGAAGCTGATGATGAGGGCCGCTGGATTCTTGAGTCGAAGTGGCAGTTGAGAGATCCCTCAAAAGTTGAATGAGAGCCTCAATAGACCAACACTTTGATTTTGGGCAGCTCTATAAGGCGACTGGTGAATGATTTCCCTTCTTTTAATATTAGGGTAAATTACAAATTTCATATTCAACTTTTCTCACTCTTATTTTGATAATTAAACTTTAAAACACTTTAATTTAGTCACTAAACTTTCAATTTACTTATGTTTATTCACTCTATCGTTAAATATTTAGCCACGTTACTAGTCAATATTTATGTTTTAAAATGAAATTGCCTAAAAAATTTACCATATTTTATGAGGAAAATCTTGATTGTAAATTATCTTTAACTTCTCGATAATGGAACATCTTCTTTTAAGTTTCAATGTTGAAAATGTAAAAAAGTATGAAGTGAGTTATATATATATTATTGTATTGAATAATCTGAGATGATTATAATGTAATATTTGTTCATAAGTCTTATTTAATCATTAGTAACGCGCACACACTATAAACGCAACTGCTCGAACTCAGGATTTTAAAGGAAAACGACGCTCCATTAATCACTTAGACACAACTCAATGAGTTCGAGCTATATATATTTTGTTATATGTTGATCGAATAATAGATATCATATATTAGTTGCTGTGTTCCCCTCCAATAACCGGAACATTGTTGGGTTGATTGTGTTCTTTTTGTGGGTTGCTTCTGATAAACTCTGGACTTCTAGGAAAAGGAGGGGCAAATCGGAAGGGGAGGGTGTTAGGATGGGAGGAAGTGGGGTTTGGCCACAAGTCCCAACGAGTTTTTCATTGTTATTGGAAAAGGATTTGCAGAGGAAAGAGTCGGTTGAGTTGGTTGAGTCTTGCCTTCATATATGTAACTGAGCTGTAGCCACAGAAGAACGAATAAACCGATCCGCCATAGATAAACCAGAATGATCCCCCTCGCCGACAGTTGAACAGCCGAGCTCGCGAAAGCAAGAACTTCCTTGAATGCTTGCATGCTATACGGAAACATTCAAATGCCTGAGGGATCTGTATTTTACCGGTGGCCAGATATGTAACCCTGCATACGTGGACATGATCGGGACGTAGATCGTACTGAATACGGCTGCGAAAAGGAAGGCGATGAAGTGTCGATGATTCGCGGCACCCATGCAGTTCCCTATCTGTATGCAACAAAAGGAAAAGGGAATCAATCCCGGTTCCATAACATAATATCAAATAGTTCCGGAAACATTATTAGAACATAGCTTAATACTTGCAAAAGGGCAGTGATGATCCATGTCCAATAACATATGATCCGAATTGCTACGATGTGCTCTTGGTGATTTCGGCTTCGAGCAGTAGTGGCAGAAGGTATAGTTTTCGAGG